GACTTCATAATGGCTGCCAATCTTACTGGAGTGAGATGGTATCTTAGGGTGGTTTTGATTTGCATTTCTCTGACTGCTAGAGATGGTGAGCATTTTTTCATGTACTTGTTGATTGATTGTATGTCCTCCTCTGAGAAGTCTGAGCCTGACCACTCTTTCATGGTGAGATGTGTTGGTTGCTCTCACATGTGCTCCTGCTATTACCATCCACCGGGATGTGACACAGCTGAGAACCGGAACCAGACCCATGGGTACCTTGTCCTGGAAGTTTCAAAACTGTGAGCTAAGTAAACCTCTCTTCTTTCTAAAGTTATCTACCATAGGCATTTCATTATAGCAACAAAAAGCTGACTAATACATGAGCAAATACTGATAGCATCAATATGCAGTTAGTATTCAAGTTGTCAAGTTGAGTATCGTGGCAGAATATTGCCACTTAAAGTGAATCCACTTAAATTTCACAGTAAATAGTAAGAGGAAAAAAGAAAGAAAGAACTCTCTATGATTCAAGTTTATCCTGAAAAGTAAGTAGAAATATGTTTATCTCATAATCAACCCTGTTTAGATTATAGTTGCTAATTCTTAGAATAAAGAGTGAGTCATAAACGTACATTAGAAGAAAGATAGTTTCTTCAACAAATAGTGCTGGGAAAACTGGAAATCCATATGTAGCAGGATGAAATTGAACCCCTGTCTCTTACCCAGAACAAAACTCAATTCAAGGTGGATCAAAGACCTAGGCATTAGACCAGAGACCCTGTGCCTACTAGAAGAAAATGTAGACCCAATTTCCTCAACAAGACTCTTAAAGTGCAAGAAGTAAAATTAAGAATCATTAAACGGGATGGTGTCAAACTAAAAAGCTTCTTCACAGGCAAAGGAAAACAACCAAGAGTGTGAGGAGAGAGGCTGTAGAATGGGAGAAAATCTTTGCCACCTACACCTCAGATAGAGCATTAATTATATGTAATTTAAAATTATATATAATTTATATATATAAATATATAAGGAATTCAAAAAACTTAACAACAAAAACCCCATAAAAAACCCATCAATAAATGGACAAAGAAACTTAACAGGCACTTCACAGATGAAGAAATGTGATCAGTCAGTAAATATATGAAAAAATGTTCACCATCACTAGCAATTAGAGAAATGCAAATTAAAATGACACTGAGATTTCATCTCATTCCAGTCAGAATGGCAATTATCAAGAATACAAGTAACAATGAATGTTGGCAAGCATGTGGGGGAAAGAGGTACACTCATTCGTTGCAGGTGGGACTGCAAATTGTGCAGCCACTATGGAAAGCAATATGGAGAGTCCTCAGAAAACTTGAGAATGGAACTACCATTTGACCCAGCTATCCCACTCCTTGGTTGTACTCAAGGGACTTAAAATCAGCATACTACAGTGATGCGGCTACATCAATGTTTATAGCAGCTCAATTCACAATAGCTAGCCAATCTAGATTTCTTTCAGCAGATGAATGGATACAGTAAATGTGGTAAATATTCACAATGGAATATTACTTAGCCATAAAAGAATGAAATTGTGGCATTTGCCACTAAGTGGATGGAACTGGAGGCTATCATGCTAAGTGAAATATGTCACTCCCCACAAACCAAAGGCCAAATGTTCTTACTGATATGGGGATGCTGGCTCAAATAGGTGGGGGTGGGAGAGGGAGTGGGGAGGTTCACTGGATTGAACAGGCAGAGTCGGGGGAAGACAGCGGGATGGGAATGGGAAAGACAGTAGGATGAATTGGTCATAACTTTCATTTGTTCATATATGAATACACGACCCGTATGACAGCCACATTAATGTTGATAGCAGCATAGTTCACAATAGCCAAGCTATGGCACCAGCCTAGGTGCCCTTCAACAGATGAATGGATAAAGAAAATGCAGTACATATACACAATGAAATATTACTCAGCCATAAAGAAGAATGAAATTATGGCATTTGCCTGTAAATGGATGGAACTGGAGACTATCATGCTAAGTGAAATAAACCAATCCCCTAAAACCAAAGGCTGAATGTTCTGTCTGATATGTGGATGCTAACCCATAATAATGGTGTGGGGGGTGAGAACAGAAATTTATTAGATTAGACAAAGGGGAATGAAGGGAAGGGGAAACAGAGGAAAGACGGTGGAATGAATCTGACACAATTTTCCTATAACAATCACAAACTACCTTTTTAAAATGGAATTTCAGGAGAGAGTCCAGGCGAATGTTTGCACTGAACATCCATCTTTAGCTAGAACTAGTCTACAAGAGGAGATTTGTCCTTCATTTACATCCCTGTGAACTTTAATAGTTTGCTTTTGGCCAGGATTGCGCATTGATAATGATTTCAACAGCGGCGCACTTTAATTGTGTGGTTTAGAATAGAGAACCCTTTCCTTGGAACCAGGAGTCTTTGTTTCTAGTCTTGGTTTGTGTTACCTTTCTACTGAAGTGATAAAGAGTCTGTTTAAGACTCTTTATCTCTCATATAAATTAGATAAGGTGAACCCCACTCCACCCCAGGGCATGCAACGTGAAATCTTTTTTTCCTGTCCGCGCGATGTTGAGACCTTTTGCTTCTAGAATTGAAGATAAGCCACACCCTAGTTATCCTCTGGGCCTTCCAAAAGCCTGCCTTTCATTTGGTAACTGTGGTGTTGCTCACTGGGTTGGAAACCCCACGTTTGTTTGAGGCCTGTTTTCCAGAGCATAGCTTACCTTTCCAGGCAGCCTTTCTTGTAAGTAGTCATTTCTGTCTTGCACTGAATGTGTGTTGCACAAAGATGATCAGGTAATTTCTAAAGAAGTAGCATTTGCATGCCAACAGTTTCACAGGAAAACAAAATAGAGTAGTAGAATCTTAATATGGAATAAGAAGACCAACCACCTTAGAGCCGAAGAGAAGAAGAGCTTTGCGCTGAGTACTCAGGACAGCTCATTGGTTAAGGGGTTCATGACTTAACTGCTTATTGAGAGACTACTGAAAATACCAACAGAGGTAAAAAGAAATGCAAGATCCCAGTTTCTTCATTTAAGATAGTGATGTTCAATCCTACTTGCATATATCATCCTGAGGTCTAGAGCTCACCCAAGACCCAGTGAAGGTAAAAAAGGAGGGTGAGGAGTGGAGCCAGGACATCAATATTTAAAAACAAAACCCAAAACACTCTTTAGATGATTCTGGTGTACCCTTAGATACCTTTGGGAGCCTAATAGCTAGTTGAAAAATTAAAATACGTATTGTCAGTCGGCTTTTCGTTGATGTGACCAAAATACCCGACAAGAACAACTTAGAGGAAAGGTTTGCTTTGGCTCACATTTTCAGATGTCCCAATCCTTGCAAGGCTGATTCCATTGCTCTGCGCCTAAGATGGGTAGAACATCATGGTGTAAGAACACAGCTGCCAGGAAGGAGAAAGGGGTGGGGGTAGGGACATCTGTAGACCAAGGCCACATCCCCAGTCACCTACTTCCTGCAGCCGTGCCTCATCTGCCTACAGTTACCACCCAGTAGTCCACTCAGCTGTCAGTGGTTAATTCAGCAAAATCCACTGATGAGGTCAGAGCCCCAATCATTGCCCCAAGTCCGCACCTCTGAACCTTGCTGTGTTAGAACCATGATTCCAACACGTGAGCTTTTGGGGACACTCCACATTCAAACCACAACATGTACATTAATTACTACAGACATGAAAGAATACGATGCACTCTATGATGAGTGAGAGGTGACTGGTACAGGAATTGGAAGGTATTGAATCAATCAGAGTCATCGGGAAGGGCTACGTGGAGGAGTCAAGTTTTGAGTTGGTAGAATTTTCATAGATGGATAGAGAGGAGTCAGGAGAATTTTCTAGGTTAGGAAATGAATGCTGCAAGACCAGTCCTGAGATATCAACTGACTATTTTGACTGAAGTGGGGCTTGTTTGGGGAAGAGTGGAAGTAAAGATTAGATGTCAGGTTGCAGCCATATTGTGGACAATCTCCAGGGTCTGACTAAGGAGTTTTTGTTTATCCTACAGGTGTTGGAGAGACAGTGAGGATTTCTGAAATGGCACGATGAATCTTTGAAGACGGCTTCAACAGGAATACGGGGTATGTCGTTCGAATAAAATAAGGCAAGAGCCTGGGGAAAGGAAGGCCGGTGGGGCAGCTGCTGTCATGGTGGAGATGTGAGGATGACATGCTCTGAGTGAGGAAAACAGCAGTAGAGTGTAACAGCAATTCACATTTGTGTAGGATTTTCAAATAAATTTTTTTCCCCACATCTCATTTAAAACTCACATTAACCTTGTGGTATTTCCCTCCATACTTTATAAATGAAGCCCCTGATTTTCAGAGGTTAAGCTATTGTAAAGTAACCTTAAAAAACCCCAAAGAGCCTGATCAGATGAATGGACATTTGATGGCAGAGAGTTATAAGGGCTCATTGGAGTGATCAGATTGGGTGGGAGGATGATGGAGTCCTTCAGTAGTCACTGGCTCTGCTATCAAGTAGCCACGTAGTATTCTTCATGTGACTCCTTTTTTCTAAATACAATCACTTCTTGAAAGGGTGCGTTGGAGACAAGGGAAGAAAAGACTGTCATTAATTCAGTTTATCTCAAATAAAGACCTTTGGGCCTTTTCTGAGTATCTTTAGGCCTTCAGATTTAAATTTTGTTGATTATTATAGGACCTGGCGTAGGTATGGACAGTATTCAGAAATGGACTCCCTTATAAAGGACTGAGGACCTTCTTATCCAGATGGACTCGGTTTAGCTGTGATTGAGTGGGTTTCCTTTCTTTTATGATTGAGGCAGGAGCCAAAGGGAAGGGAATGATGGAGTATGGTAGTGTAGACACTTAGTCACTATGGCCCTGGTGACTAGGGTGCTGGGTGGAGCTTCCACCCTTCTCAGCGTGTGAATTGAATCTACCACTGTGCGCGATTCATTCCATTCAAGAGCCTGTGATGTTTATGTGGTCCTCTGTTTTTATTTATTTATTTTATTATTTTATTAAAAAAAAATTTTTTTTTTATTGTTGGTTGTTCAAAACATTACATAGTTCTTGATATATCATATTTCACACTTTGATTCAAGWGGGTTATGAACTCCCATTTTTACCCCRTATACAGATTGCAGAATCMCATCAGTTACACTTCCATTGATTTACATATTGCCATACTAGTGTCTGTTGTATTCTGTTGCCTTTCCTATCCTCTACTATCCCCCCTCCCCTCCCCCCTCCCCTCCCCTCTTCTCTCTCTACCCCCTCTATTTTAATTCCTTTCTCCCCCTTGTATTATTTTTCCCTTTCCCCTCACTTCCTCTTATTGGTCCTCTGTTTTATGTACCAACATCTTGAGACAATTCAGCACCAGCCTAAACATAATATTTACACCATGAAATGAATTTGCCATCTGAGATTTTTGTTCCTTGCAATCAAATCGAAGAAGAGTGTGCTAGAGAGCCAAGGGATACTGGGGAAAACAAAAGAGGGAGTCATCCTTATGGGGAGTCCTGGGTTAGTTTTTCTTATGAAATGACAGGGCAGGGTGGAGAGTGGGGTAGGAGATGAGGCTGAGCCTGTTTGCCCTGGTTATTCTCCATCCAGGCTCAGAGGATAACATGTTCATGGGTCCAGCGAGGGTGAGGGGAAAGCCTATATTGGTAATCTGAAATGGCCACATCCTTGTGTAATTAAAATGTCACATCTTCACTGTTTATTTTTCTCACGTTAGAATACCGGGATCTTCAATGGCAGCAGAAGGAGTGATCAGGAGACCGAGATGAATTTTAACAGTATTCTAGAAGAGATTCTCATTAAAAGGTCCCAGCAGAAAAAGAAGACATCACCCTTAAACTACAAAGAGAGACTTTTTGTACTTACGAAGTCCATGTTAACCTATTATGAGGGCCGAGCGGAGGTAGGAGACTATCACAGCAATATGTTGCCGCTTTCCGTGTCGATACGACTTATTATACTGCTCTGCTCTCTAGTCTTATGGCATGAGCGGTGGGATGATGAAGTTAAGGTTATGAGTTGTTTTCGTTTGAACGTGAAAGGTGAAATTTAGCATGTGAATAGAAATTACATGTCTATTATATTAAATATAGGCCTGTGACATATTGATGTTCATTTTATATCAAACAAATGTGCCAGAGAAAGTAAATTCCTTTATCAGTTTTAGATCCTTATGGATTAATTATCTGTATTGTGCACTATTTCCAACAAACCATCAAAGTCTTTCTTAGCAAACGTGTACTCTGTGTCCTTTGCTTCATAATAATGTTGCTTCATCATTAAATAGAAGCTACTTAAAACTGGTTAGTGATTTGGTGGTCCCAACATGTTCCTGAAGTTGACTGTTCAGCTCTTTTCATGATAAGCAGCTACTGCCAAGTTCCTGTGACAGGAGCAGGGAGGGGCAGCTAAGAAACCTGGCCAGGGAGCACGTGCCCCAGGAAGGCTGTGCTCACCAACCCCCTGGCTTTTCCGTTTGTTTCTGCTTCTGTTTCCACCTCTGGATGGGGTGCGTGAATGAGTAGTCATCAGCCCACTTTTTGGCTCTTGACCTGTTGAAAATGGCCTTTTCTAGTACTGCCAAGGTCCTCTCTGCTAGAAATATTTTTGGGTTCTASGGAGTGGCTGGGGACTGGGTTTCTTCTTGGTTGGCCACATGCTGCTGTGCGCTTGGTTACAGTGGGCACTTGGTGATCCTGATGTTTGGTTTTGGTTCTGCTTATTTCCTAGAGTACCATCCTCAGAAGTTGATTGACTTGTTCTGTTTTCGTTTTACTCCCACTGATTTCTCTGTGGCTGGGTTCCCCCAGTTCAGACAGAATTGCGTTGTTGCTCATAAATGGTCTTCGACTCTGTTGGATTCTGCTGTGGCTTGTCATTGTGAGATTATTCAGTTTCACATAGATCATAGTCTCTTAACCCTAAATCCCCAAAATGCTAAAATCCAAAACCTCAAAAACTCTTATTTGCAAAAGCATGCCTTAGTTGAAGCCAGTTTTTGTCTTTATCCTATTCATCGTGCTATTCATACAGAAATGCGAATAGTGTTTGCGTGGGACTGTCTCAGTCCCTGTGTTATGTAATGTGTGGTACATGTGCTATATTTTACTTATTAAATCTGAAAATTTCAGAAATCCAAAAAATGTTTCAGATAAGGATTATTACCACTTTAAAATATAAAGCAGATTTTTAAGGGAAACATTTACACGTTTTTGCTGTGTGGTAAAGATTTGTTATAACTTGAAGCTTATATAGTAAATTTAAGGAGAAAATAGAAGCGTAGCAGTGAACGTGGTAAATGTGGTTCTTTTCTAGCTACAAAGCCTCAGAAACCTATATTATCTGCTTAGAAATATGCCTAATAGTATTAAAACACATTGTAATTTTTTATTTACTTTGAAGATGATTGCTTTATAGTTATCCCTTCGTATTTGTGGGGGATTGGTTCCAGGCACCTGCCTCTGATACCCAAATCTCCAGATGCTCAAACACCTTCTATAAAATAAAGAGTAGGTGCCTATAACCTATACACATCCTGATATATGTTAAATCATCTCCAGACTTACTCATAATACCTAATACAATGTATGCTTTGTTAATAGTTGTTATACTGTATTGTTTAGGGAATAATGACATGAAAAAATAAAGTCAGTACATGGACAGTGGAGATGCAGCCTTTTTCCCCTGGCTATTTTTTGTGTGTGCTCAGTCACATCTGTGGATGTGGATCCTGCAGATGTGGAGGGCTGACTGAATGAAGTTGAAAGTGCACTCCTTGCTTTGTCTGGAGCACGGTGAAGAGAATTCTTTGATTCCTCTTACTTCAGATCCCAGCCTTAGCTGCAGTGAGAACCAGAAAGGACAGAACAAGGTGGTGTCCAGCATGTGAAATCCCACTTCAAACACTTTGGGTCAGATTCCTTTTCCTTCCTGACCGCTGCTGAGTGGTCCGGAGATCCTAGTGCCATTGGCTTAATTCCTGCCTTACCTTTCACTCTTGTGGAACTCCTGGGCACTTCCATCCTCCTGTTTCTTTCCTCCTAGCCTGACATTCATTGGTGACCTATTGCTCGAAGTGGTTGCGGAGCTGTTTGTTTCTCACAGTTTAAAATAAATAGCTGTCAATATTTTTAAAAATTAAGAATTTTAAGATAAGAGTCAAATTCTTGAAATAACATTAATGCTGACTATTCTGGGCTAATTCTCACATGACGCTTTCAGTCTGTCTTTTGGATGAGCTCATAGCACCTCACTACTGTGTTTCTTTTCCACTTGGGTGAATGTGCTCAATTCTCTGATTTCCGGTGACAATCTTCTGGTTTTCATCTCCCTAGCATTAGAAGTGACGATTCAAAATGTGCTGTGAGGTGGGAACTGCATGAGAATCAGGAGGAGTTGTAAAAATAATATTTTGTCAAAAATGTAAGACTCTAGAAATGAGTTTGAAAAAAAACTTGGAAGCTATTTGGGGTTAAAATAAATAGCCTAGAGATGTTTAAGTGGTTCATAGTTGTCCTTTTTTTTTTTTTTTTTAAACCAGGAGGCAGGCTGTTGATCCAGTAGCTAGGATTCCTAGGTCTTCATAGCAATCAAGTGGTTACTAGTACTATGTTAAAATTCTTAGTCAATCATAATGGCAAACAGACATCCACCCCATCCTTATTCTCTGGACCCCATCTCTTTCAACATGGCGACAAGAAGCTTTTATTGAAATGCTTCTAATAGGCATACTGCCTGTTGTGCTTTTGGAAGTATACTGAGAAGTTCTGTTCTGGATGACAAGATATTTCCTGAAAATCTTTGTTCCAGTGACTACATGGGGTCATTCTTCAGTTTGTCCTCCTTTCTTTTCTGGTGGTTATTTCATGAGTCCTGTGTTTCCATACATTGGAATGAACTGAAAAAGATCTTCCTGACAGCTGTTGTTTGATCTTACTCATAAAAACACAGATCAAAGGGTCAAGGAGTTTTCATAAGTGATGTCGCTTTGTAATTGTGGAACTAAATGACCCATGGGATAGGCCATTTGATGTTCCATTGGAGGTTCCATGTAATACTGAGATGGAAACCAGGGAGGAGCAGGACTGGAGTTTTATCAGGAAAAAGACCAACTGGATAAAGACGAGAAAAAAAAAAAAAAAGTAGAGAGATTTCTTCTACATGTTGACTTGCTGAATAAAATAAATTTCAAGTAGTATGTAAACTGACAACCGTTATTTGCTAGGAAATTAGGAATTTTTTTTTTTTTTTTTTGGTACCAGGGATTGAACCCAGGAGTGCTTAACCACTGAGCCACACCCCCACCCTTTTTATTTATTATTTTGAGATAGGGTGTAACCAAGTTGCTTAGGACTTTCCTAAGTTGCTGAGGCTGGCTTTGAGCTTGTGGTCCTCCTGTCTCAGCTTCCTGAGCTGCCACAATTACAGGCCTGTGCCACTGTACCCAGCAGGAATTGGACTTTGATGGTCTTAATTTGTTTGGCTTGTTGTCTGTAATACTGCCCCAGTATAGACGCTGGCAAGTAGTTTAGAATATTAAAGGAATAGGTTGACTAGTAGTATCAGGCATTCTACCTCCCAATGTTGATTTGTTATGAGGACTTCTAGGCTCTAACATTTAGTCCTACTCAGCTACGATATTATAGTGAAGGATGCAAAGCAAAATCAGCAAAGTGAACAGGAACATGGGGCCTGATGCAAGCATCAATTGTCTTTTCCTGATGAAATAACAAAGGATGTGCATTTCTATCCAGCGTTGAATTCTGACAATTATAAGATCTCTGCTAAGGAAGTTTATTTGAGGCTCAGTGCCCAAGGTGTTTGTTGGAGACTGGTCACATAGACACCCTCTGCATAGAATATACCAAAACTATAGACTTCGAAAGGAAAGTAGATGTCCAACATAAATCCTATTCTTGTACTCTTGAGGCACAGTGAGAACACCCTTATCAATATTAGAAATGGTGGGACCCTGCCAAAGTCCAAGTTGCCAGATACCAACTAAGGGCTGTCTTTGTAAACAGGTCTTTCCTCAGCTGTTATATAACTGTTTCCTGCACATTAGTTATAAAATTGATATGACTTATTGAACACTAACTACAAGCCAGCTGCAGTGCTAAGTATTTGACATATTATTTCCTTTATTTCTCTAAGCAATGCTATATTAAGTATTTTTAGACTTTATTTCAAAATAAGGGACTGAGGCATAGAAAACTTGCATAACATACACCAAACAAGAAATTACATACACATGTAAGAAATTGCAGGGCTATTCTTTAAAGCCTATCTTTGAAACCACCTTGATATTCCAGGGAAAATTGGGGGTGGGTGGTTATTACAGCTCTCTAGAATATAGATAACATTTTATTTTAAAACTTTTGAGAATAGTTTTATTTATTACTTTCATTATGACTTTTTTTTTTTTTGGTACCAGGGATTGAACTCAGGGGCACTCAACCACTGAGCCACACCCCCAGACCTATTTTGTATTTTATTTAGAGACATGGTCTCACTGAGTTGTTTAGTGCCTTGCTTTTGCTGAGGCTGGCTTTGAACTCATGATCCTCCTGTCTCAGTCTCCCAAGCTGCTGGGATTACAGGCATGTGCTATCGTGCTCAGCTTTGTTATGACTTTTTAAAACTTTCTTTTTTGTAATAGGAAAAGTTAATACCAAACAGATCTTTTGTCCTCTTTCTACTTCTAATTGGATGTTCTAAGATAATCTTCTTCACTCTGTATAGTTTAAATATTCCTTTCATGTATATGTATATATACAAATGTATATATAGTTATTCAACTCCAAAACACATCTGATCTGCTACCAAATCTATATACGTAACATATATGTGTATATGTGTATATATATATATATATATATATATATATATGCTTATCTATATATA